CAAATCAGAAGGATTGTGGACAGCCAAGGGAAAGAGCGCACAGATAGAGAGGTTATTCATAATATGGCTATTGACTACTACAACAATCTCTTCAACTCTAAGAAAGATATTGTTACTGCTCCTGTTCTTGATTACCTGGAGACAGTGATTACACAGGAGGACAATGCCAAGCTCAGCAAAATACCAACAGCAGAGGAGATTAGGGAGGCAGTGTGGAGTATTAATCCTAACAGTGCTCCCGGCCCGGATGGGTTCAATGGATCCTTCTTTAGGGCAGCATGGCATATTATTCAAAATGATGTGATAAGTGCTACACAGGAGTTTTTCATTGGGATCAATCTGCCAAAGAGTTATGGTAGTACTTTTCTATCATTGATCCCTAAGATTGATAATCCTAAGAGCTTTGGAGACTATAGGCCCATTTCACTCTCCACCTTCATGAGTAAAGTAAACACTAGAATACTTGCAGACAGGATTCAACAGTTGCTACCCAAGATTATTTCTTCAGAGCAGACTGGCTTCCAAACAGGGATGGGGGTTGACGAACAAATACTTTTGGTGGAAGAGATGGTTCACAAGATTGATTCTAAGATCAGAGGAGGCAATGTCATTATCAAATTAGATATGGCCAAGGCTTTTGACAACTTGGAGTGGGACTACATCCAGGGGATCTTAAAGAAACTTGGGTTTTTAGAACACAATCAAGGACTTCTCCTAGCTAACCTCAGGGGTACACACATCTCCATAATGATTAATGGGAGCCCTAAAGGTTTCTTTCCTATGAGCAGAGGAGTTAAACAAGGCGATCCACTATCCCCTTTGCTATTCATTATTGATAGTGAGGGGCTCTCCAGAATGTTTAAAACAGAAATGACATCCTCTAAAATCCAAAATTATAATACAGGCAGGGATCTACTCATCAGCCACCTTGCTTTTGCAGATGACATCATTACTTTTTGTAATGGGAATACCAATAACTTGCTAAAGCTGAGAGCTCTGTTAGGGACTTACCTCAAGGGATCTGGTCAGGAGATTAATCTCAGCAAGAGCAAGTTTTATTGTGGGAAGGGAATAAAGCAAAGAAATATTGTCAAGATGGAAAACATATTAAAGATGAAGTTCAGCAAACTACCATTCACTTACTTAGGGGCTCCTATTTGTAAGGGTATTCTTAGGAAAGCTGACTGTACTGATCTGTTAAAACACTTCTCCAAGTACCTTGACAGTTGGTATAGCAAGACACTAAATCCAATGGGGAGATTAATACTTATCAAGCATGTTCTCTCTTCAATCCCTTTACACGTTATCTCAGTTTATTCCCTCCCTAAATCCATAATTAATACTCTTCATGGAATGATGAGTAACTTCTTCTGGGGCCAAAATCAAGGGATTCCTAAACATCACTGGAAAAACTGGAAAGACATTTGTCTTCCCACTAATGAAGGAGGACTAGGAATCAGGGATCTGGGAGACTTATAGGAGGCCTACTCGATTAAGGTATGGTGGAATTTCAGATACTCAGATAGCAAGTGGGCTACTTTCATGAGAAACAAGTATGACAGCAATAATTATGAGGAAAAACTCACAGATTCTCCTACTATAAAGAGAATTTGCAGAATTCACTTAAAGGCTAAAGAAATTTTTGAAGACATGCTACCAGATGATGATGAGGTAGTTAAAATTACTATTAAATAGGCCTATGAAAGTTGCAGACCACAAGCCACCATTACGCATAGTAACAAGCACATCTGGAATAGAATGCAAATCTCAAAGGTCAAACTTTTCCTCTAGAAGGTCAACAGTGATATCCTACCTTTCCCAAATATACTCACTAGAATTACAGTCAGCCTACCCTCTCAATGTCCTTTTTGTAAAAAGGAAGAAGGAACTATTGACCATTGTTTGCTACAATGCAATGTCATCAAAGACATCTGGGAAGATTATGCTCAACTAACAGGGGGTCCACGCATCAAACCAAGGATCAGCATCAAGCAAGATCTACTAGAGTGGCACTTCAGCTCTAAATCCATAACACTTTCTGGAAACTTGAAATTGGTACTTCCGGGAGTAATTGCTTGGAGCATTTGGAAACAATACACAGCTATTAGATTTGGAAACGAAGAATTTAACATCCAAACTATAAAATCACACATTAGAAATAATATCAACCTGTGGTATTGGAAACATCGCCATAAAGGTTGGATGATTCACGATGACAATCTCACTAGGGCTGGGCTACAAATGTTTGCACTTAACGGAAAGGCAATTCCAGGAGCAAGAAGATGACGAAGGTGGAGCCTAGTGACTGAAGGGGGGAAATCGTTCTCTGCGAAGGATTGTAATAGCTTGGATTTATCCGTTTCCTCAAAGTCAGGATATTGGTTTGGGTCCTTTTGATTTATTCCTTTTTTATTGTGTTTTAACCTTCGAGGCTTCGGTCAAGTCCTCCTCGAACGTGTACGGATCTCGTTTTTAAATAAAATCGGTAAGGAAGCCTGAACCTTACCCCACCGACTTTGGTGGTTTCTTTTCGGGTAATATATATATATATATATATATATATATATATATATATATATATATATATATATATATATATATATATA